CGTTTTGTTCATTTTCTAACTAATTTTAAAAATATAGCCATTGTATGGTTGACACATCATTTAATTCATGGGAAATTTGGTGAAATAACAATCAAAAAAATTATTGTTAGGTGAATAACCATATTGAACTATGGCTAGACTATTTTGTTAATAAACTATAATATTACCAAATATGCCCTTAATGAGAAGCGATTGATCTTCTTCTCCATAGGAGAGAGAGGAAAGTTAGAGAAGAAGATATGGAGTTATGGACAGAGTGTCGCTGTGAACGACGAGGAAGACAATCAAATTGATGATACACCTTCTGAGATGAGGGATTCATCCACTGGAAATAAGAAATTTCGATGATTCTTTTGAAATCGAAAATTCCAATTCGTCGAGCATTGAAATTACCCCTTCTTTGATTGGTTAGGGATATGGAAACTTGTAATTTGACTGAGGAAGAACCTCGCGGATTTTAGGTAAGAGCTCGATGATGGTTTGGTAAACATCGAGGGTGAGGAAGATTTTCTCGGAAAATTTCTTGGGTTTCGCCGTGTTTGCCGGGAAAGAAAACATAGACACTTCTTCTGGTAGAATTTCGAGATAAAATAGAGACATATTCATGATCAAGATACTGTGCCCATGTTTCGAAAAGGATATAACTTGTACATGTATGTGTTATATGTTTCATGTCTATTCAATTTTCATGTCATGTGTTTCATCATGTCTTTTAAAATCATTGCAACATGTGTATATTTGTGATGACACTGATAAAAGATGCTCGTCAAGACTCGTCCTTCCAAATTGGGTTTTGATTGAGAAGAAGATGGTTGGATCGTGGTTGAAAAGCAGAGAGTTATTGAAGACATTTTGATGGAGAGAAGATTGAATCGCCTTCTCATCGAAAGGGGTAAAATTGTCAGAAAATGAAATATTTTGTTATTCACTTTATTATTAGAATTGTGTGGCTATATTCTTTAATATATGGATCAATATTGTCATTCCGCTAATTCACCCTTTAATTCATTCATTTTCATTTTCTTGGTAGGAATTCATTCATTTTTGTTTGTTTGTTCATATTATTGCTCTATTTGTCACCGATTAGAAAATGACTTATAATTCAGATAATTTGTCAAAGTTTACCTGTAATTCGACAAAACCAAACCAATCTTTGAGGGAACAGACCGCAAAGCTTTCTCCCACTTGTGCATATTATCTTTGTCACGGCGAACTCCTCCGTGTAAGTTGTCACCAAACTCTCCCGTCTGTTGTTCCACATCACCCACCGTCACATTAAAGAAGATGGGTATGACTCTGAGTTTCTTTTCATCCACCCTCTCCATAATCTTCACAAGCTCGTCCAAACACCAATTTGACTCTGAGTACCGTTTTGAGAAGACGGCAAGTGCGATTTTCGACTTCTCGATCTCCGTGAAAAAGATATCCAAATCTTCGCTACGTGCCGCCTTTGTGTCAATATAGTAGTTGATCTTCTCATTCTTCAAGGCCACCTCCAAATGGCAGATGAAGTTGTTGCGCAGTTCGTCTCCTCGGAAATTGATGAACACTTGAGGCCCTGGCTGAGAGAGTTCGTTGACCATAGAAGCTGAGGAAGAAGCCATGTGAGAGTTTGGCTTCGATTGTTTGGAGAGACTTGCAATTATATGGATCAATTCAACGTACCAATAATGAGGTCAAAGTCAATTAGTTTATCATTCAAATTAGAAAAACCAAATGCTTTGTCATATACTCAACCACCAACGCGCCATTTTGCATTGATTTACAATAAAACTTAGCTCATCCATCGTACCATTCACAATTTTATATAATTTGATTATTTAATATTTAAATTACATATAGAAATTGTACTTGCTTATTGATACCCTTGTTTATTCATTTTCTAATTAAATTGAAAATCAATTTACAAGGCATGCATACGTTTTGTCAATTTGATTGATAAACTAAAATTGTACACTAAATTTAAATTACTAAGACTGTAGACTTTATTTTAAGATATTAAATTATGTTTATTTGAAATTTATATGATTACAAAAATATTAGATGGGAAAAAAATAATTGAGGTTTGAAAGAAAGTAGAGAGAATTACGCGCAAATGAGGTTTGAAAGAAGATTTATTTGCACAAAAGTCATACTATTGAAATTGATTTACAAATATGTCATAGAAAAACATGTGTAAACAAAAATATTACTTTTTGGTATGAAAATACAATATTACCCTAAACACACTTTCTCTCATCTTTTTCGTCTCCCGTCTGCTTCCCCTGACACATTTTTTCCTTTTTTTTCCTCACCTCTCACATCTCAC